AGGACATCCCCTGATCTGTGCTGGTGCTGGTACCTCCCCAGATGCAGGACTCTACACGTGTCCCGACTGAACCTGAGACAGGCTGAGGCCTGCACTGGAGCATGCGGGAATGGAGATGGGAATGTTAAAAATAAAAGGGGAGTTTACTTTATGCACTTTTTTCCCCAGCAAAACCCACAGGATGGGGGCAGAGGTGGAGAGGGGAGTAAGGACTCTATTGACCTTCTCCCTTCTTCGCTGGGCTGGGAAGCCAGCAGGTTGTTTGTTGAGGGGGGCCTCGAGGGGGGCCCTGACTGAATTCATGTTGTTTTTTGGGGCTTTTTTCCTGTGCTGTGTGAGGGTGACTATGGTGAGCTGCAGCTTCTGCAAGTGAAATGCTTCAGTACGTCTGGTTTTAAGAGGTCTGGTGGGGCCTTTGTGTTGGTCACGCTCTGGCAGGTGGGTGAAGAAGGGAATGTTCCTGCAAGGTCTGCCTGTTGTTCTAGAAACAGGATCATTATCTCTGAGATAACATAGGGATAAATCCCTCAGTGTGTGTTTTTAGGCCTTCATCTCTTTCCGCTACTTAACAAGAAAGAGGACTCCGCTGCAAGTGCCCTTATTTCAGGTGAGGCTCACAGCTCGCACTGCAGCTCGCTGTGGGTGCGCTCAGAGCTTGCGCCGGTTGGAAAACGTACGCACGTGTGTCCAGCTCCTTTCCAAGAGATGGTGAAGCTACATCAGAGTGTAACTCAGGTTGTCGTAAGCCACTTTTGCTTTGAAGATTTGCATATTGGAACGGTAACACAGCTCCAGCACTTTGGGGAACGCTAGCTCGTGTTTGGATAGCCCTGAAAAGCGTGAATACATCTTGTTAATCGCCATCCTCTGCTGTTATCTGCTCAGCCACGTCCCCCGCCACTGCTCTGGTCTGGAGGATCAGGCACGGTTGGGGTATTGAAACCCCAGGCACAGGAGCATTAAAACCTGTTTCACTTGGCTTTGTGGTGTCTGCAGGGCTCGTGAGTTACACCTTGTCATTTCTCTCTTTTTTTCAGAGTGGGAACTATAAGGCCCATTAGAAGTTGCTGGGAACCACCTGGTACAGGTGTGGTAGCTCCCCTCCCCTTTCTGCAGGGCCCAGAGGGCTGGAAAGGCTCCTTCTGGCAGCCCCGGTTAGAGCTCCGAAGTAAGAGAGTGCAGCACAGTGTTCCTCAGGCCAGCTGCTCCTCACCTCTGCCTTCTGGTCATGTCGTGGGATCTCTGCAGCCCTTGCCTCTGTCTTGCAGTGCTGCACCCAACTCATGGGGCCTTTCTCTCTAATTCCTAATGACAGGACAAGGGGAAATGGCCTCAAGTTGCGTCAGGGTAAGTTTAGATTGGATATTGGGAGGAAGTTCTTTCCTGAACGAGTGGTGAGGCACTGGAACAGGCTGCCCAGGGAGGTGCTGGAGTCACCAACCCTGGAGGTGTTTAAAACAAAAGTAGATCTAGCACTTGAGGCTGTGGTGTAGTGGTTGGGTGTGCTGGGATGAAGGTTGGACTGGATGATCTTCAGAGGTCCCTTCCAACCCCTGACATTCTGTGATTCTGTGATTCTCTTAACATGTTTCTTTGCTTCTCCCTTTCTCTTTGTCTGGCATGCTAAAACCAAATGAATCTTTTACAGGCAGAGAAATGGTACCACGAAGGTGGTGAGTGCTGTGACACTTGGGCGTTGCCGTACTGCTGCCTCCCTGGAACACAAAGCCCCGTAGCTGCTGCTTATTTTAAATTCTTTTTCCCTCTCTCCCTTTTAGCCTTGCTTTCGTCTGCAGTTCGGCACCAGAGTTCCCAGAGCACGTCACCGCAGCAAGGGTAATGTCAAATGAGTTTCTGCTTTGCTTTTTCTGTCCCTTGCAATGCTGACTTTCCTTGGGGGGAGGGGAGGGGGGCGTTTTTCCCTTGGAGAGGAGGCTCCTCTGACCCTTTCGTCAATCTGTCGCTTCCCAGTAAGTTTTGGACTCTGCCTGCCTTCAGGCCCCTCTGCCAGAAGGATGCTTCTCTTGATTTGTGAAACTAAGCAGCCGAATCGTGAGACGGAGAATTAAATACCCTGCAGAGAAAAGGGGCTCAGCCCCTGGTGGGCGGCAGAGGAGCCGCTCAGGTCAGGACATTGAGATGCCTCAGGTGCAGGAGGGGCTCTCACCTCGCCAGGGGCGGGCGGTCTGCTCCTGCCTCGAGTCTCCTGTACCTGGTGACGGCTGAGCTTGCGCTGCAGTCTGCGTGAAATGGGGTTCACAGCCCAAGCGCTGCAGGATGCAGAGGCAGGAAACTTCAGGCTTCATTTATTTCAGCTCTTTAAGAGCTGCTTATTTGCATCTTTGTTTCCTCTGCCAGGACCTTGGTGAGGATGGTGGTTTGACCATGACTGGTGGCCAGGTGCCCACACAGCTGCTCTGTCACCCCGCTCCTTCTCTGCTAGACAGGGGGAGAAAAATATAACAAAGGGCCCGTGGTCTGAGATAAGGACAAGGAGATCGCCCAAATCTACCATCCCGGGCAAAACAGACTGGGGTTTTGGGGAAATTAGTTAAATTGATTAAGGAACAAATCAGAGAAAAGCAGTGAGAAATAAAAACAGATCTTAAAAAAAACCCAAAAAACCACCTTCCTCCCATCCCTCCCTTCTTCCCGGGTTTAGCATCAATCCCAATTTATCCACCGCCCAATACAGCGAAGCAGAGCTGCTGCCGCTCGCTTTAACCGGGAGGGGACACTGCGGGGCACAGAACCATCCTCAGCTCGGGAGCAGGGTTTGCTGCTTCCCTCTGCTGCTGAAGCAGCTGGTGGAGTGGGGGGAGCTCGTCTCGCTGCCCCCACCACGCATGGGAATGCAGTTGGGGGTCTCTGCCCGCCGTGACACAGCACCCAGTGGCGCAACTAAACCCCACCGAGCCACAGTGCTCGTGCTTGGGTGCTCGCTCGCAAGTGCCGTGAGTTTCTGTTCAATTCCAGCCCTTGGAGAGGCCCCGCTGGGCACTGCAAAGGGAACCCACCCAGCGCAGCTGCCCTGGCGTTAGTTTTGCCTTTTCACTCACATCTGGTTCTTTTCCCTGAGTGTTTCACGCAGTTTGTGCATCCTGTGTTATTTATAGAACGTGTGGATCTCGGCACGTGGGAAATTCTGAACTCCCTGTTCAGGGTTCAGAGGGTGTTTGCTGAGCAGCACGTTCCTCCTCAGATTTCAGACACCGACACCTTTCTGGTCATCTCACTGAGATCCAGGGAGAACTTACCTCCTCTTTGAGCCTAAGATTGTCTTTCTGGTATCTAGATTCTTGCTTAATAAAGAGCTATAACCTGATGCCTTTTGGTTGTGTTTGTGTTTCTGAGAAGAGGCGTTTGGCACCTCTCAGGATAATCCCCGAGTGCTGCAGGACGGCCGTGTGCCTCCTGCCCCCGGGATGTGAACCGCGGCTCTGAGGAAAGCTCTCTCCCTGTTAGAGTGGTGCTTTTCTCTCCGCTTCTTTGGGAACAAATCAATAGCTTTTGTGACTGGCTCTTACACAGAGACATAAAGGGCTGCCTCTGGTCCTTGTTGTTGTTGCTCCCCGTCCTAGGGATTGTGAAAAACAGCTAATTAGGAGCAAGCGGCATTTGCATTTTTTCCGCCAAACTCACGCTGTGCATTTCATTTTTGAATTAACACGCCGTGGCACATTGGAGCAGCGTTAATTGTTGTTGGGCTCTGATGTTTGAAGCAGGGTTCTTGCGATTTTGTGCTGTCTGTGCTGCTGTCCAGAAAGGCAGTGTCTGTCCGCGGGGACCTGCGGTACCGGGGCCGTCGGGAACTGGTTTAGCTTTGAGGCAGAGGGTCCCTCCCAGTGATAATCTTGAGAAAAGCCAAGGAATCCACCCTGACAGCCGATGAGAACACGTTGCTGGCTGCTGGCTGAAACGGCCCTGCTGGTTTTCAGTCTTTCATTCCGTATCCGTACTGGCGGACTTGCCTTCGGCTTTATTCACTGAGCAGAAGGTGTCGCACGTTGTGGCAACCGTGTGCTGCTTTCAGGAAGTGAGAGAGCAATATCTGAGTGCAGAAGGTAGAACAGGCTTCAGGGAAAACATCTTCTGCACGGAATTTGTCCTTCAGGTGCTGGTGCAGTTTGAGCCGCGGTTGCTCCTGTGATTGTGTCGGTGCCGAGGTGTCTGAAAGGGACCTGTTGGGGATGCTCAGGAGTCCCCCGGGCTGGTCACCATGGAGATCTTCAGGGACTGATGCCGTGTCTTGAAGCAGAGACGCTCTTGTCTTGGCGGTACTGTTGCAGAGTGTCTGAAAAGAGATGCTGTTAAAGTGATTCTTTCTCTACCTTTCAAGAAGAAGGAGGGTTTAAGTTGCACCTTTTAGTGAAATATCTTGGTGCTCACAGTCGTTATGGGGAATGGTGCTCAGGCTCGGCTGGATGGTGTGGGACGGTGCACCAAGATCGGGTCTGAGAGGTCTTGTTAGATGCCCTCCCCGGGATGGTTGGTTGTAGACTGATGTGGTGATGGCACGGAAGAGGCTTTGGGGCTAAATGGTTTTGATATTAAATGCTGAATTGCACTGGGGGTGGGAGAAGCCGTTCAGGGAAAGCAGCTCTAAGCAACAAAAGACGAGCAGCCTCATAACTCTCCTGTAAAAGAACCCAGCTGTGGTCTCGAGGCCCCCTCTAAACTATCTGTTTAACAGAGAGGAGCTTCAAAACTAGAGGGAAGAAGGATGGGTGAGAGTCACTTGCGTGTGGCACCGGAGGCTGGTGTAGGAATGCTCGCTAGCCCTTGTTCCCGTCAGAGGCACGCTGCCCCTGCCCCTGCCCCGCGACCTCAGGGCTCTGTGCCTGGGGCTGGAGGGGCTTGAGGAGCCGTAACGCGTTCGGCCTCTCAGCTGTGATGGAGGCAGCTCGTTTCTGTACCTGGAAGAGCTCAACAAGAGCCTTCTATCTAAAACTGGAGTGTGAGCTGGGCGTAAGGTAGGTCTGCGTCCTTTGGAGTTGGTGACAGAATTCCAAGGCGGTGGAAAGTCACCGGAGGTTGCTGTGTTTGGTCACCACTGGCGCATCCAGCTGCAGACCTCAGGGACAAGTGGTAGCCTAGCCTGGGTGCGTTTTTAGTTACTTTTTAGTCTGTTTCTTTCTGCATAGTTCCTTTTCTTCCCAACTATTTCAAGTAACATTCTAAAGTGGAACACAAAAAACCCCACAATAATTAAAAAATCCATTTCTCCGTACTGAATTTATGATAGGGTGGGAGTAAAGAAAGGCAGCCAAGGAGGCATTTATCGTTTTTTCTTAAAGCTTGCTGCAATTCATGGTGGACTTAAATGACATTAAGCCCTGGGAGCAGCAATTCTGTTTGGTAGAGCGCTTGCAGGTTGAGCTGGGAAATGAGAGCAAGTGTTTTCTGCATGTTTTTGACCAGCCTTCTGATAGGGGCTTCAGCACCTGAGCAGCATTTCTGGTCCTGCTGGAGAGCTTTTGCAGGTGCTGGAAGGAGGGTTTGGGCCCCTGGAATTGTCCCGGAGAGGTTACATGGCTTTTGCCCTGCCTGCCACCCACTGTAACACTTAAGACCAGAATAAAAAGCTCCCCTTGCTCATGAGCTGCTGTGGAGTGAAACGTGCTGTGTGGGGAGTTCCCTTCTGGCCCGGTGGGCTTTGGGCCGAGTCGTTTGTACCAACACATCATTAAGTCCCCTGCCCAACTTCTGCTGCCCTGGCAGAAAACTTCTTTCTACTCCCACTTTTTCTACCTTTTTTCCTCTCTTCATGTTTTACATCTTTTGACAATATCTGTTTGCTGTGAGTAAATCTTACCTTTTCGTTCACAGACTTGTTGCCAAAACCTCCCTGTCTTCTCCCCCCTGGCCTGAAGTGAAACTTCCAGATCCGGTAGAAGAGGCGAAGCATCATGCAGGTAAAGGCCTCCAGTCTCCAGGTGAAGACTGGCACTTGACTATTGCCACTGGTGGCCTGGCTGAGCACAGATAAGTGTCTTCAGTGATGGGAGCTCGGTTTTGTTCTTTTCATTTTTGTCTCGTTTCTGGCACATGTTAGTGTCGCTGGGCTTGTGCTCCAGCTGGAGATTTGGGTAGAACATGAGGTCTCCTTAGTGGATGACAGCTTGTAATGCTCCCACAGGGATCTTACCTGATGTGATGTGTTGCTTTCTAAAGCACAAAACAAGCCTTTTGGACAGGAGAAAGCAATTATTTTTCTTTTAATTGATAAATTGACAAGGTGAAGCCAGCACAAGCAGTTGGACGGTGGGCACGTGGGACAGCTGGTGTGTTTTAGTGCCGGAGCCAGCATAAGCAGGTTCCCCTGGCAGGCGGGGACATAAAAATCAGACGCAGAGGAGGCATTTGTTTGTAGCCCCGTTTTGCCCCGATGGGGCTGTTGTCACCCAGCCCCTGCTAGAGGTGGCAGTGGGGAGGCCAGCACGGGTAGGATGTTTCACAGAACAAGGCAGTTATAAGCCCCGGGGGGTGAATTTCTTTTACAACTGCTGTGGCAATTGGCAGCTGTGCAGGCAGCGGGCTCCTCTGTGTATTAACAGGCAGTCTTCCTGTCTTGTGGTGTTGAGAGGCGCCTGGGTTCTCTGATTTAGATGGGAGAGAGCCTGGAGGTAAGGGAAGAGAGCTGTTTTACAAAAGAGCGAGAGGAGGAGAGCTGAGCTGTGTCTGCCTTTTTGCAGACTGTCTGCCGGAAGCGTGTTACCAACAGACTGATGTGCTTTGGAGAGAGCCTCCTGCTCTCGGTCTCCCCTCTGGCTGCTTTTCCCCTTGCTTTTTATCTCCTTTGCGCTCCTGGGATTGCCAAGTGACAGCCCAGCGTTCTGTCCCTGGGCGCGATCTGCCCCGGTGGTGAACCGTGAAGTGCTCGCTTTGATTTGCTGCAGCCCCGGGGTGAGCAGGGTCCCACGTGGCCCCGACTGATTCCCTCGGGATCCTGGGGCTGCGGCGGTTGCTGCGCCTCCTCACCTCCTGCTTCCATCGTTACCTCCTGGCTGTGCTTATCCAGAGCAAGTGGCAGCCAGAATATTTGAATTCTGCCTCCTCCTCTCCCGCTGGCTGTAGGAGCAGCCGTGGGTGTTTCAGGAAGGGTCTCTCCGTGTGGTGCCGAGATCCAAGCGGTCCTGGCCACCAAAGGGTAACGTCGCTTGACGTTTCCTATCACTAGAGGTGTTTGAAAGTTATCAACAACTTCAGAGCCGGGTGTGGTGAGGAAAATGCACCCCTTTAGTTACAAAAAGGTGAGAAAGCCCCGTGGGTAGAAAGTTGAACTTTAACAAGGAAATAACCTTTTTTGGAGCACGGCTCTGCATGGTTTTTTTCTAAGAGAAAATTCTAAGCCAGCGTTTTGAAGTTTTGGTTTTGAAACGTTGACCACGGGACTACTGATAGACCTGAATCAACGGTTTAGAGCTGGAAGAACTGTATTGTACCTGTTGTGCAGCTGAGGGCAGAGCGAAGAGGTTTGTGTGTGGCCTTTTTGTAGTTGTCCAATGTGGATCAGAGAAAAGAGCACACGCTGTGTTTTTCTTCTGGGACAGCAATTCCAGCAGCACAGAATTCAAATAGTTCATTGTGGTGGGAACTGCAGCAACTACTGCCTTGCAGATAATTTCTGTTCTTAGCTCTACCTTTAATAGTTTGCATCTGCTGGGCCAAAACTTGGAGATTTTGTGAGTTCCTGTAAGAGCTGGGTTGGTTTGGGTTTGGTTTGGGTTTGGTTTGAGTGGCTGCTGAATTCCTGTCTGTCCCTGGTGGATGTTGTTCTGTTTACATTCCGAGAAAAAATGATTCAGCTGCTTTTGAGGACATTGAAGAAAATCTCTTTTTCCAGTTATAGAACAGTTGCTCTTTCTCTGAACAGCTCAAGAGGGTGGAAAGCTACTATTTGGCAGTGGAATGGCTCATTAAGCAATGCCTTTGATCTTCCCGTGAAAGCTGGTTTTGGCTTCCCTGCTCAGGAAGCCAGTCACAGAAAACAGAGTTTGCTCCTGAGCAGGACCTCGTCCCTGGGACCTGTCCTGCTCCTGGCACCCGCTCTGCATGCATGTCCACATAGGAGGGTTTTCTGGAAAAGGCTGAGGGAAAGGTCTCTCTTGTCTTTGCTGCAGGTACAACGTCTCAGGCCGGGATTTGTTAGTGTGCTGGAGCCCTTTTTCCTGTTTTTTTTCCCAAACTCTTCCTGATGCTCCTGCACACTTTACACAGTATTTGGAGTCCTGGGCACTCTGCGTATGGCTTGGGAATTGAGGGGGCTCCCCTCCCAGTGTAGGATGCACAGACACGCACTCTTTTCTGGCACGCTCTGTGTCCGAGCACAGTGTGGTTTAGGATGCCTTAGAAACAGGCTGAGAAGTCAAGTCCTAGAGTCATAGACTGGTTAAGGCTGGAGGGGAACCTGGAGATCATCTCGTTCCAGCCCCCCTGCTGTGGGCAGGGACACCTCTCTGCCACCAGCCCAGGTTGCTCCCAGCCCTGTCCAACCTTGGACACTTCCAGGGATGGGGCATCCACAGCCTCCTTGGGCAGCCTGTGCCAGCGCTTCACCGCTCTCATGGGGAAGAATTCCTTCCTTATATCTAATCTAAATCTATCCTCTTGCACTTTCAGGCCATTGCCTCTTGTCCTGTCACTACAGACCCTTGTAAAAAGCCCTTCTCCAGCTTTCTGGGTTTTTTCCTAGATTAGGTGCCCAGTATAGGCACCGCGTGTTGACCTACACGTGGCTTTGCCGAAAACTGAAATACAGATATCTCTTGAAGTGCAGGAAAGGGAGGCTCCCACCCTGCAGGAGACAGCACTGCTGTTGATCCTCACGTAAAGATTTCCAGAAGATAGGAAAGAGTTTTGGTGGGAGAGCAGTGTGGCTGGACAAGTTTCGAACAGCTCTTCACAGCTTGCGGGGGTTTCTGCGCTGATCCCTTCCCTGCTCTTTACCCGCAGAGGTGGTCCGGAAGGTGAATGAGATGATCGCAGCGGGGCGGTACGGGAGGCTCTTTGCCGTGGTGCACTTTGCCAGCAAGCAGTGGAAAATAACCAGCGAGGACTTGATTATGATGGATAACTCACTGGAGGCCGAATGTGGAGACCGAATCCGGATGGAAAAGGTGACGTGCTGTGCTTCTCCAGCGCCTGCGATGCCGTGCTGCGTGTGGGGCCGAAGCAGAGTGCTTGCAAATGCTGCTCCAGGCAAAACCCATAACCAGCTTTTAAAAACACCTCCTGGAGAGCTCCTGTGGGATCTCCTGTTCTTGCTCCAGCTGTTTGCTTTGCTTTAGTTTTGTGCCAGTTTCGGTTACTCTGTCAGTGATGATAATATTATTGTGATTTCTGTTGAACAGGGTTGGAACGAACCGTGCCAGACTCTTTTAGGAGACAGATTTTTGTTGGACTGGCTTTGTCCAAAAAAAGAAAATTACAGTTGTTGTTTTTAGAGACGGCAGCTAAAGACTGTGTTTACCTTGAGACGCCAACACCCGAAATACTTGCAGTCCTCCCCCAGGGACTGCCACTGCTCGGTGCTTTGTGAGATCCTTATTGCGCCCAGCGTGTTGGGTGGAGGGAGAGGGACGGTGCCCAAAGGGGAGAATTACCAAGGTGCAATTCAATATCGTTCACCTTAGCCTTGATTAACTAGCAGGAACTTGTAGAGGCTCATTAATCCAAACCATAAATGAAAGAGGACGGAATGGGATTGTTAGCTTCCTCTCTGTCCTGCATCCCTGTGCACAGCGCAGGGGAGGGCTTTGCCTGGAGTAGCCAGCTGGGAATGCAAAGGTCGGGGTGGGAGTGAGGAAGGTGAAACACTTGCCTAACCACCGTGATCCTGTGGGGATTTTACTGGCAAGTATCTGTCTAAAACAAAAGTCCCGTGACCAGTTATATGTTGGTTTGAAGTGCTGCCATACCACTGGTGTGGGGACCAAGGCAGCCTGTAGCAAATGCTGCCTCTCCTCATGATACTCTCTTGATTATCCTGCCTGGTCCTTTACACAGGTTGAAATGCCCTGAAACAGAAGGGCCAGTCCCTGGGGTACGGAATTTTTATTGCCCAGTTGATGGAGCAGGTGGAGGCAGGCGTCTCTCCGCTGGGGTAGCAATCGCTGTGCAAATCCAACAATTTTAGGAGCTGCCATTCATCCAGATCCCACACAAGGCCTGTTATTCATCTTCCCTGTATTGCTTTTCATATCTTTTGCAGCTGTTGGTGAGCCAGAACAGCAAGGTTCAGTGTGTTCTGATCACCGTGAAAGATACTCCTAAGGCATGCTTTAGTAGAGTGAGCTCTCCTGCAAGTCTGTCTGTTTAAGGAATCTGTTTCTTGCCCTGTAGCTACCTGTCCCCACCACCCCTCGCTGCTAACAGTGTCAGGTTTGAAATGTGTAAAAGCCTGTTTTTCAGCAGTTTGACTCGTTGGTGGTGACTGTAGAATCTGGAAGATGCTGCCTGTGTTTCTCTGGGACAAGGAACCGGTGACAGCTGCCTGATCTGTCTTCTGTAGGTTTTGCTGGTCGGTGCTGACGACTTCACGCTTATTGGGAGGCCGCTCCTGGGGTAAGATGTCTCACAACGAGAATTATCTTCGAGACAATTGTTGTACTTAATTGTAGCTTCAGGCATGCTACAGTCCCTGAAACAGAAGAGAAATCGGATTTATCAGCACTAGCTTTTTTCCCAGCCTCATGGCTTTCGAAAGAATCACCAATAAAACAAGCTCGTCAGCCTCTAACTGTTGCTGCAGTGCCAGGGTAGAGCAGCAGTGCCTGTTTCTAAGGTAACTGTAGGATATTCACCTCGCCTGGCTTGGATCTTTTCCTCATAGTATAAGCCTTGCACAAACTAGCAGTAAATCTTGCTCTTCTACATCTTTACTCCCTAATTTTGGTGATAGTCATCTTGGAACAACCCAGAAATCCTTTCCCATCCCTTAATTTCACTTGGGTTTTTTTAACTTTTGCCCTTGCCTTAACTCAGCAGGCCTTAATTTTGGAGTTCCTGATTTTCCCTTCCTCCTAGGCACATAGTCCAGCAGTCACAGGACTGGGGAGAAGGAGTTTACCCCTCGGCACCAGCTCCATCCCAATGCTGTGAGACAGCAGCACCACTGGTTCCTCAGCCTTTCCTTCAGAGAGTGGAGGTGGGGTTTGGAGCAGGTGTTACTGCTCAGTGCTTAGCTCTAGCCAGAAACAAAGTCATCAGCTATTGTTTTCCCCAGAACCAGAGGTTTCTGTGGTAAAACACAAGACAAGGTGGGTTGCAGGTGCCCAGAGCACCTGGCAGCTTGGGCTGTGGTCTGGTTGCAGGTTAAACCACGCCAGATAAGGAGAAACTTGTACATTTGAGAATTATTGCTTGGTGGTTTGCAGATTCAGATTAGAAAATACCTCATGTCTGCAGGTTGGTTTCACTTCTGAGTGCCTTCTCTGGTACCGGGGGGCTGTTGGTGTGCAAGAGCTATTTGTAACGTGTTGCTGTGGTTGGTAACATGAGGTCGGTTGTGCTGATGGTAAGCGCTGTGGGTTCCCTGCGTCAGATGGGATTTTGAGGGCTGCCAGTCCTTTTGACAGCACTGCAAAGAGATCCGGAGTAGCAGATCGTCCAGAGTCTCTGAGTTATTGCCAGATATTGCACCTGTGGAAGATTTTTGCGAAGGGGACTCTCAGTAGCAGGACTCGAAATATCAGTTCCCGTAAGAGCCCAAGATCTGCAGGCAGGGATGTGCCACGTCAGGCGCTTTGGGAGAACCACCCTTCTCCTGTCTGTCTTCACTGGTGGCCCTGGAGGGTTCTTCGCAGCCCTGAGACCCGGCAGCTCTGGGGCAGGAGGAAAAGCAGCCGTTTGGTTCCTGCCAGTGCTCCAAGTGCGTGGAAAGTGCCGTCAGTTGCTTGAGGCAGACGAGACCGCACATCAGCCAGTGCTGGCTTGATCTCCAGTGAGCGTGGCAGGAGCTGGGGAGGAGGAGGAGGCTGACGGGGCAGAAGGAAGGGCACCAGCCTCCCCGCCGAGCTGCAAGGAACCCCCCCGAGGCACCGGCTCCCCGACACGGGCTGGGTTTGCAGGGGAAGCAGAACCCAGCGTGTGGCTGGTTCTTTCCCATAGTTCCCTGTTGTGCCTAAACCACAAACATTTTGGAGAGGAGGTAAGAGGTTGGATGCCAACAAAGGCGGTTTTGTTTTCCTGTTGTTTTGAAAATAAACACATCAGTGAGTGCTTGCACCAGCGTCTGCGTAAGACGCTGCGCTCCCTGTTCAAACTTGGAGGCGGGTAGGAACTTGTCCTGGTTTGGACAGATGGTTGTGTTTTAATTTGCTGGAGCAGTCAGATACCTCCCAAGATGACACTCCTCTGAAGCCCTAAAAAACAACAGTGCAACAGAACATATCTGTGTGGCAGGAGGCTATTCTGGGAACTTCTAGTTGGCTTCTGCTCCGGCATCTCTTGGGTTTTGTGTTTGTTCAAGCAACTTGCTGTCTGGGCGATTGGCGCGAGGGTATTGAGCAGTCCGCAGCCGTCCTTTTCTCAGCTGTACAACGCAGAAATTCTTGGGTGCTTTTAACACTGTGATTAGCAGTGAGCATAGCCTCGGGCAGGTTTGCTTTTCAGGCCCCGAGCTGAGTGCCCTCAGCTGTTCGAGACCTGAGTGAAATGAATGGTGACTCTCTGAGAAAGTTCAGTTTATTCCTAGATAAAGTACAGCTGGTGGAAGCTCTTTCCTCTAGAGGAGCCTCTCTCTTTCTCCTGCTACCTGCCCGTTTTGGCAGCGGCTTCAGTGGAAACGGCAGAGGGCTTGGACCTGTTCTTTTCCCAGACAGCCAGGCTGGGGCTCAGTTACCGTCTGCAGGGAGCAAACGAGCTTGTTGGTGGAAATTATTACCTCCTAAGAGTTATGATCCTGCAGGCTTTGGATCTTTTTCACTGCTTCCTGACAGGAGCTTTCAGCCCAACTTAAATCGCTGAGATTTCAGTGCGAATTTTTCGTGCCTCCTGCAGAAATGTGATAGATGTGCTTTGTCATGAAACATTTTGCTGCTGAAAAGCAGCCGGCCTGGCTGTCTGTGTCCGACTCTGGGAAACGTGTGACCCCCTTCTTATTTTTATGGACATTCCAGTCATACCTAAAGATATTTTTTATTATTATTTTTTGCCTCAGGCTCTATTTGGCTGAGAACTTTTCTGCCCACATGCATTTCCCCAGCACGTTGGTTTGTGCTGTGCTTCAGCCTTTGAGCCAGCAGGTCCCAGATTCAGAGAAGGACCCGTGAGGGGTCACTGGCCTTGAACTGTGCTTTGCAGAGTGAAGCCACGCTGGGATGCCCAACTTTCTCAGCACTACCCTTAAAGTTTTGCTTGGAAGCATGTCAACATCTGTGTTGGAGCAATGTGGGCAGGATGCTTACCTAGAGATGGATGTCGGTGTTTCTCCTGTCAGCTGGACGCTACCCAAGGGTGCCCCAGTGCCTCAGGGGGAGCTCGGCCGTGCTGCTGCAAGCCCTGGCTCTCCGGAGAGCAGCACAGAGATTTCGGGCACCGGGTCACTCCATCTGCCCTGGCCCCTTTCCAGTTTTCCCATGTGATCAGTGTCAGAAAGTTTCTTGCGTGCCCTCGCAGCCTGAGCCTGTGAGAAGTCAGCGGGAGTTCAGCTTTGCCTTCAGTGGGCAGGCGTTAGAGCCGGGCAGTGGAGCTCCCTAATTCTGGCGGTAAAACCCCGCCAGCCCCTGGAGGGCAGTTCGTTCTCTGGTTCCTTTCCCGGCGCTGCAGAGCTTGCTGGGTGTCGCGGCGGTGCTGCTGGGCTCTGGCGCTGGGCTGGGTCGGGATAACGTCCTTCAGCTGGGATGTCAGGGTCACCCAGTGGTCTCTGAAGATCTAGGTTATCCTGTGTCTGTTTTCTTCTGGGCTAGTCACTAAATGCTTTTCTGGCTGTCTGTCCCTCCTTCCCTGGGGACATGTGTTACAGCCCAGAGGGTGAGTGGTAAGAGCTGGCAGATGTCTCAGAGCCTTTGGCCTCCCGGTGACCTTGCTGGAGCAGTTAAGCTAGATGGGCTTCCCGCCTTGAGCGCAGAGTCGTTTGTCAGGAAAATGCTCTTTAAATGTCTTCTGGTGGCAAAGGGAGCATGATAATGAGCTTTAATGGCATTCTGGAGCGAGGCTGGGTGAAAGAGAGTGCCTCTGTCGTGGCTGTTGATTAAAACCGTGTCTTCCGAAGCTTTGGACTCGCTCTTGTCCAGAGGCACTTGCCTTCCCAGAGAGGA